GGAAGAGCCCAGCGTTATTGTTATGGACAACGCGTCATATCATTCTGCATTACTCGAGGACTACCTGAAGTCAAATAGTAGGAAGGCGGATGTTCAACAATGGTTGCGCGAAAAAAATATTGACTTTTCTCCCGTAGAAACTCTAGATGAATTACGGTCGAAAGTCAAACTTGCGATGCCGCGTGGAAAAATTTATAAGCTGGATCAATTGACACAACAAATGGGACATGAAGTGGTAAGACTTCCGCCTTATCACTGTCAGTATAATCCCATAGAATTAATTTGGGCACAATTTAAAGGGAGAGTTGCTGAAAAAAACTCAACATTTAAAATCGCTGATGTTGAGGCACTTGTCCATAAAGAAATTGATGCGGGAACTGCTGATGATTGGGCCAAATATGGAGAACATTGCGTGAAAATTCAAGAAGAAGATTTCTTTAAAGCAGGACTGAGGGACGATATATTAGAGCCGATTATTTTAAAAATGTATCCAGATGATAGCAGTTCGAGCGACGATGATGACGACGACGACGACGACGATGAGTAGTTTTATAATTATTATTAAAATTCGAAAACAATATTGTAAATATTTTAAATATTATTATTATATTATTATTTTGATAACGTGATAATAAATTAATAAAAAATGTGTATTACAAATTTATAAAATGTTATGTCTTTATAGTAAAGGCCCGTTTCATAGCCACACGTAAGAATATACGATAAGCGCGCGTACCGAACGAGTAGCTGTGAAATAGGTATATACAACAAGTGTAAATGTGTTTGAAATTATTTTACGCGGGAAAGTATTCTTCGTAGCCCTAATGAAAAACGGCCACTAGGGCGCGTGACGTCAAGCTTCTAGTTTCGCTGGCCGCACTATAGTTGTTCATACCACCACCCCGCACGCGTAACGGCAGTGCCAGCCTGTACATAATTTATAAATAAACAGAGAAGAAAACGATTATTATATAATACCTAATTCGTGACAAACATTATTTAATTTTATTCGGTTTTATATTTTGTATTTGTATCCGAATTTTATACTAATAAAAACTATACTTTTGTTCTTCAAATAATACGGCGTATTGAAGTAGTTTACAACAAAACTACCTATTATAAAAATTGTAGAGGAGAATTTTTTTAACAATCGTAAGAAATCTGATTTTTGATATCGTATTCTAATCGTCCAATATAACATGGTAAATTAACACGGTTTTTAACTTTTTATCGATTAATTATTCAACTAATTAATAAAAATATCGAAAAACGTGCTTCTTACGATTGTTAAAAAAATTCTTCTCCACAATTTTTATAATAGGTAGTTTTGCTGTAAACCGATTCAATAAGAAGTATTACTTGAATTATCGAACTATTTGGGTATGAAAAAAAAAAACTAATTATTACGATACCTATCGGAATAATTAATAATTATATAAGAAAAAAACTAAAAAAGTTCCATTTGTCGGAATTCGAAATCGTTTTTGCATAATTTGTCATCGTGCTGATTCACAAAAGAATATAAACTATCTCATAACTGTTTTTTAAACTGGAATAAGTCGGCAATATAGAAGCTGACGGAGTGGCTGAGGGTTTTATGCGAAGCATAGAGCTACATAACTTAAAGTTCAATCGATTAATAGGTAACATTTTTTTTCTGTTATACATAATGAAATAATATAATATCCCTATACTTTATTTATGGTATAATTTAATAGGCGACGGTGATAGTAGCGTCAGTAAAAGGTTGAACGAAATATTACCCTATGGACCAAATGTTAGTAGAAAAAATTGAATGCCGCAATCATTTACTACGGAAATATATGCAAAAATTGTCAGTTATAAGTAAGAAATCTTCATTTCCAATGCTTTTAAGAAAATTTGTGGAAACACATACTGTTGAGACCCGAATGCGGACATTCCTCACCGACCACCTCACACACGCACACACACACAACACCTTTTTATGTTTATATTTGTATTGTTTTATTTCTGTATGATTGTGTCGGCTGTGTATTGTGAATTATATAAGATGTAGATAATAAGCGACTCAACACCAGCCGCCGCCGTCTAGCTGGAACGAGAGCAGTTAGCACGGCCGCCGAAATCGTCAGTCCATCCCGTTACGCCAACGCGGAAAATATATTACCTACGTGCGAAAATCGCCGTGCCGAGGTGTCAAATTGTATATTGTTTAATTAGTTGTGTGTACACCATTAATATATTATTTTGTTACTGTTAGTGTGCGCTAATCGCCACGTCCATTATTATTGTGTTGTATAAGTTAAGGCACGAATTGCCATACTTATTATTATTTGGACATGTTAACCCTTTGTTGACCAATGGGACTTTAAAGTCCGCTGTCATTTTACACCTATTTAATAAGGAAGAAACTAACATATGTTCTACATGGCCAATGAGACATATAAGTCACGATGTTTTCTTGTATATGGCACACCGATAGATAACGCTGTATACATAATTTTATATGAGAAACATTTTTTTTTTCAAATAATATTTACCTTTTTTCTAAAAATAACTACGGCATGAAAACCCAATGGTAATCACTTTATGTCGATGTTGTTATTATCGTTAACATCTAATGAACCACAGAACAATGAACCAATGCGTATCATTGAAACATGATAATATGTGCGTTTAGTATTTAATTTCAATATATTATTGCAACGGACTTATGAGTCCCATTGGTCCGTTATCGTCGTGACTTCAAATTCGCTTTTATTATCGTTGACAGTAACGCGTTCCGACCAACGTCCAGTGACTCTCGTGAATCGTCGTACCTCGCATGTTTCACTATGTATAAATTTAAAAAGTTGAGTGATTTTGAAATAGAAACTTTAATAGGAATTCCTGGTGACGATGGTGGACTTACGGATATTGAAAATAGTGATGATGAATATTTTGAAGAAAGGGATTATTTAGATGTCCCAGATCCAAATAGTAATGTGGATCTTCAACAATTGAATATTATGGGTATGTTATTTATATTTTTAAAAATGCCATGATTTTTACTATTTATTTATAATAAATATTCTATAATTTTAGAACTTCCAATAGAATTCGCTGATGATATTGAATTTGAACCAGTTGCTGGTCCATCTAGTGATGGGTATGATGTGTCTACATGTTATATTGTTGACGATGATAAAGGAAAAAACAAGACAGGAAACAAAAGACAAAAAAAAACAAAAAATAATCTTGAACATATGAACCAGAAAAAAAAAAATTAACCATTGTGTTACAATTCCTGACAGTAACAATGATTTTGAAGGTATTAACATTTTAATTATTTTATAAGTAGGTATCACAGTATAATTATAACTGTATGATGAAAATATTTGTTTACTATTATTTTAGAGCTTTCAATAGAAATTGTTGAACATTTAGAGGATGAACTAATTGCTGGTCCATCTAGAGATGGGCAATCTATACATGATTTACCAGTTGTTGAAAAACAAAAGACAAAAAACACAAGACAAAACATATAAAAAAAAAGAAAAAAATCCCCTGAACATTGCATTGGCTGGAAAAAAAATGCAAATCATTGTGTGGCAATTCCTGATTATAACCATTTTGAAGGTATAAATAGTTTAATTTTTATAAAAAAGGTACCTACCACAATAATATAATATTTATATAATATATACATATATAGTCTTAAATATTATAACTCAATATTATACTTATGTGTATATATTATATATAATGTATTAATATACTATATTGTAATATCTTATATATTAGGTATATTTTATTATTAACAATTTACAATATTATGCATTTTTCATAAAAAATACATACTTCTAGTTTGTATAATATATTGTATGTAGGTGTTTTACAAAAAATTAAAACTTAGTTTCAGATTAGGTACATTTTATATTTATTAAATTATTAATTTAGGCACTTGTAAGTTGTAACCTAACTATTTATTTCAATAAAATAAATTATAAAAACTAATTTGTTATAGGACCTGTTCATGGACTGTTTGTGGACTGTACTAATCCAACTGAAGTTTTCCTGAAAGTTTGTGGACCAATTTTGAAGGATATTTGTTTCCAATCAAATATATATGCTATACAACGAGGAAAATTATTAAACTTACAGCTTGAAGAGTTATATGCGTTCATAGGTATAAACTTTTTAATGGGTTATAATAAACAACCATCTTGGAGAGACTACTGGTCTACAAGTAATGACCTGGGAGTTGAAATGGTTCGTGATGCTATGAGTCGCAAACGGTTTGATAATATATTAAGTTTTTTACATGTTAATGATAGCAATACTATGCCTGCTAACTGTAAAGATAGACTTTATAAATTGAGACCTTTTATTAGTGCAATAAATGATAGATTACCTGAACTTTATAATGTAACTAGGGAAGTTAGTGTAGACGAATCTATGATTTTATTTAAAGGACGAAGCTCGATAAAACAATACAACCCGATGAAGCCGATAAAGAGGGGCTATAAACTGTGGTGTTTGGCAGATCAGAATGGATTCATTAGTAGATTTTCGGTGTACCAGGGGAAAGAAGAAATAGTGGATGACTATTGATTATGGTTTGGGTGAAAGAGTTGTACTAAGTTTAACAAAACCTTTATGGAATAAGGGTATACAAGTATTTTTCGATAATTATTTTACCTCAATTCATCTGTTAGAAAAATTAAAAACAGAAAATACTTTTGCATGTGGTACAATTAGGTCGAACAGAAAAAATATTCCTTCTTTAGCTGAGGATAAGACATTAGAAAGGGGAATGTATGACTTCAAAACTTCTCGGTTGGGTATAACTGTTTATAAGTGGAGAGACAACAGAATGGTTTATTTTGCTTCCAATTACCACGGTGCTGATGAAAATACAGTGTTTCGCACTGAACATGATGGTTCGAAAAAAATTATAAAATGTCCTCTTGTTACAAAAAATTATAACACATTTATGGGTGGAGTTGATAAGGCAGATCAGTTAAGAGCTTTGTATAATGTCGATAGAAAATCTAAAAAATGGTGGCATAGGTTATGTCTGGGGTATTATGGATATAGTTTTTGTCAATTCTTTTGTTATAAATAATGAACTTAACAATTCAAAATTAACTGTCAAACAATTTCGACGATCTGTAGCTCAAGGGTTAATTGTATTGAATAAATCTGGTCAAAAAAGAAATTTCGACGTATCCCCAAGTACCCAAAAAAATAGTTTGCAACCAAGAAGGGGCAAACAATTATATTCTATACCTTTAGATGTTAGAATAGGTAACTTGGGAGCACACTGGATAGAATATTCTAAAACTAGGGGTAGATGTGAAGTGTGTAGCAAAAAAAAAATTGAATCCAAACCGTTCAGTAAATGTCCCACATGTAAAGTTTTTTTATTGCAAAATGAAAAAAAACCATGTTTCAATGAATACCATGCAAAATAATTAAATATTAGTTATAGGTACATTCTTTTACTGTAAAAAAAGTTGTTGATATGAAATAAAACATTATTATTATGCATTATGTGTTAAATTTTTTCTTCCAACCAACTAGGTACATATTATGGATTTATTTTGTATAATATAAAGTACAAAATAAAAGAAGTACTCTTTTATCATTGATGTATACTTATTACTTATATACCTAGCAAAATATTTTACATAGTGTAATGAATGTACAATTTACAAGTACATTAAAAAAAATTGACCATTTAAAATTTTGATTTGTAATTTTTAAATTTAAATAAAATATGATAACAATCAATTAAAATATTTATGGTGTAATTTGTTATGGTCATTCTTTTTAAATAAATGTAAGAAAGAAAAAAATTACAATTACATTACAATCTCCATTGAAAATAAACAAATTAATTTGCCGGAACAGACCAATGGGACTTGTAAGTCCACACCGTAAATGACCAATGGGACTTTTTTGTCCCGGTCCTTAAAAAACTATAAATTTTCAAAAAAACTTTTTGTTTTTGGTTTTGAAATTCATCAAAAAAATACAAAATTACTATTGTGCAAAAAAAATCACATTTTTATCTTTAACGGTGCTTGGTCAAGAAAGGGTTAAGTGTTAATATTTTTTATTAGTTATGACCTTACCCAAATCCTGCAAAAATTTGCACTACGGAAATTTGTTTATACTCTAGTAAAATTATTGATAACTAATGTGTTTATTGCCATTGATAATTTAGTATTGAATTAATGTCCATTATTTGGTCTATTCACACACAAGATAGTTTGATATAAAATTGCAAATTATACATTATACAAAAATCCCAGAATACCTAATATTTATAAATGGAGAGTCAGGTAGGCACTATGAACAACGGGTTCTCGTCCTATAGCCCCGCATCAGATTGACAATACAGGACTCACTTCCTTGATGCACAAAACATTGTAATATCAGTTTAATGTAGGTTATTTGTTGTGTCACTTTATTTGTAATCAAAATAACTTACATATTCTATTTATTTTTTTCAGTATACTTAGATTGATTTGTAATTATTTATTTTTAATGAAATGAAAACCTTAAATGATAGGGGCGTTGTAAAAATGTATAACTAAAAAAAAAAAGGAATGTGTGAATAGACCTTTAACTACTTTATTGTGGCTCTAAATTCTGAATCCAAGTACATAAATTATACATTTGTATCTGTGTATTTATGAATTATTTTTCTAAATACATGGAAATTGTTGATTTACTTTGTTTTAAAATGAATAAATGTTATCTGTTTAATATAATCATTTACTATAGTAAATTAAGAGGACGCCACACCCGCATGTGTTGTCTCCGTCTTACAAATGTACAACAAAGCAAAAACTCTTTTGCGAGGGACAACTTTTCTCGCACCATATTTGTTGTAGAACTACCAAATTTTCACAGCACTTAAAGAAGAATTTTATCTGTGCAACAGCGTGCTCTTTTTTTCAATAGCACCATTAAATCATTTTTATAAGCCCTTTTTATTGTCCCTCGCAAAAGAGTTTTTGCTATGTTGTACATTTGTAAGACGGAAACAACACATGCGGGTGTGGCGTCCTCTTAAGATACACCATATTATTGTTTTAAAAAAAATATTTATTTTGTAATTTACTAGTTATAACACATCAATCTGATATAAAAATATAAATTATATTAAATAAATACTTATGTATTATGTATAATTAACAAATAATAAACTTAAATAAATTATACTACATATTATCATAATATCATCTATTTATTCCATATTTGATAATGGGAAACTAACATTAACGATTAACCAATAACCAGAATATGTTTTCAGAAACAGTTTACCGGCATTTATTATCGTTTATACGTGATAAGACCGTATACAAGGGATCAGTAACCAGTGCAATATTATGTAACCATTATGATAAATGTAAAATGTTGTTTTTATACTTTATAGCTGATAAAGCCTAGCTGCAGCTGCAGGCCGCGGCTGGCTATAGTCGTCCACTGACACTCGGTATTCTGGTGGGAGTGATGATGGACCACTTTTTTTTTTTCTAATAGTATTGTTTATCTATCTTGTTATTATTGATTATTACCGTTATGGGTATTGTTAAATAATAAATTGAGATAAAATTTCGTTTTGACTTCTGGCTTTTACAGTTGGGTTGTTAAATTGCCCAGTAGCAGTAAATTTAACGAATATTTCAGCATTAATAAGTCGTAAACGGCTTACTCAAATTAAATTCTGTAAACGTTAAAATTTTTTTTTCAGTATGTTTATAGATTTTCGTTATCGAAAATAGGTATTGCCATTTGAAAATCGAAAGTTGATAGTGTTTTATCAAATAAGGGAGGAAGTTAAAATTTTCAAATTTGTAACATAGTGTAAAATAGTAAAACCTAGAAAGTTTAAAAAAAAAATTATTTTAAAATTACTAATACTTCCCGAGATATTAACTGGTTCACGATAAAAAAATCACCCTGTATAATTGTATATTTTTAAATTTTTAAATTGTTTTATGATGAGTGATGAAGGTCTTACAATTTGCGAGTGTGGTAAACTCGAAAGTAACATGAGCCATTATAATTGGCTCTTACACATATCGTCATGCGTTGTACGTAAGTCCAAACAAACAAATAAAAATATAAGAAGCTATTTTTCAAAAACGACAAGTAAGCAGTGTCGGCCTGGCCAGGGCCGCGAACGCGGCCGAGGCCCTGAGCTTTTTTTTTACAATTAAATGTACGACGATGGACGATGGAGTGTCGATCACGGGGGCCCACAGGCTGCAGGGGCCCTAGCCTAAGTCTTAACTAAAAATATTGTTTTTGCATATTAGATTTGGATAACAATTTTTACAATCAATATGACCACCCCAATTTTTATTCACAAAAATAATCGTAGAAAACTTTTAATAAAACTTTAATAGAGCCCTTCATTGAAAGTGACAATTGGCCTAGTTGCGCTACTGACGAAGTGCATAAACGGGGCCGGTTTAGAGAGAGCCCACGGGGCCCGGGGCCCCACAAGATTCAATTAATAAGAGGCCCCCACGAGATAATTACCTTTCAGCTTATGCAGTAAGTTATATGTCAACCTTATATGGCCATATGATGGGCCCTAGGGCCCCCACCATCCTAAATCCGGCCCTGTGCATATGTTATAGAATTTGAGTGTTGTGTACAATCACTACAAACACGTATCTACTATCTAGTACGATATAATAGAATCTATATTTTGTCATGGTGTATACGTGTGCGGTGTGCTGTTTACTCGTATAAGGTGTAGTACAAATGTAATGATAAACGAGATGATTTGAACGCAAATAAGATTTTTTGTACAACAGGTTTTGCTACAGCCCACAGGTACAACAACATTTTCGGGAAAATCGTAACGAGTACAAATACAATAAGTCAATAACGTCTATGTGTGGGGCCCCCGTACGGCTGTACAATAGGTTTGATAAATTGTCTAATCAATTATTATCATAAGCGCTATATCGAAATGAAGAAGTAAGAACTAAACTAGGTACGTGTACAGTGTTGAGTGTTGACCGTGTTGTTTATATATTATTATAATATGAATTTTGTATACTACGAACACGGTCATCATGTTTTTTATAGGTAACCGTGATAATTACTGATAATTGATATGTATTATGTTCGTATAACGTATGGTTTAATACGTATGCTTATTGTTTTTCTTTTTTTAGTACAAAATACCAATCTCCGATTTATCTGTTATTTGTTTTCATTAGGATTATATTTAATGGCTTACAATCTGTCTTATCGTTAACAATCTGCTTACATAAATATTATTTCATATAGTATGTAACTTTTATCTTGTAATCAATAATTTGATTTATAGACTATAGATTTATAACTACATCTCACATTTTATTTAACTGAACAATTAACAATAATTAAAAAATATCTATTGTACTATATCGTATAGACAAGTGACTATATGTATAGTGACGAGTTACTTTCAGATTTTCATTAATAGTGAAATATAAATTTATTTTTATTTTTATTTTGATATCAATAATTAATATTATATATAAGCGAAGTCTAAAATCAGATCAACAATAAGTCAACAACATTTATCGCCTTTAATGCTTATGGCAATTGAAAAAGATATCAAGATTCAGAAAACGCAAATTATTGATACTATAGCTAAGTCATCTAAAATGTTACATGAATTGCTCATTTAGTATTTAAGTTTTTTATATTTAGCTATTACTTTCTTTAAAAATAATGTTGTGTCAACTTTTGTTCATTGTTTGTCTTCTTTATTATATTTTGGATGATATCTTTTTCGTAATTTGAATTGCATTTTGTTTAGTAACTTATTAAAATCATGTGTATCATTAAGCACGTCAGAAGTTAATACTTGGTTTTAGTAGAGAATTGTAAAAGTGGAAAAATTTTAATCGAGCGACTATTTGGTGAGTGGTGGGAGGGAGGTAAAAGTCAGCGTTAATAATTGGCGTTTAACGGTCAGCATCAAACTGTGCTGTTCCCTATACAGGTTTCACTTTAATCATACAACTTAGTCATTTTTTATTTTTATTCATAAGAAAAAAACTGAATTCTGACATAATATTTCATAAGTTGGTTTACAAAAAATAATTCATTAACATTTTGGCTGGTTGAGCGGGGGTGGGGGATATACAATAACTCTAGGAACCACCTTGTTCATATATAGTAAATGAAGAAAAAAAATCGAGGCCCCTGAGAAAAATTGCGGCCGAGGCCTTTTATATGCCAGGCCGACACTGCAAGTAAGTAATAACTATACATGCTTTCAGGGGCGTACTCAGGAATTTTCAATGGGGGGGGGGGGGGGGTTGAACATTTTGTTTTTTATCACGTGGACTTTGACACCTCCTTTTTAAAAATATTAAATATAAACATGGTAATGTACTCTACAGAAAATAAATTTCAAAAATGAAAAATGTTTATTTAAAAAACAATATTCCGATTCCGATTGATTAACGTGTTCATGTTTTCTTTTAAAATTATTGTAGGGTTCAATGTACTTAGAACTTCCAGGCACACTAGTAAAAATGTTATTATTTTATTTTTATTTTTATTTTTTGACTTTAAGCGTTTATGGAAAAAGAATAAATACTTAAATTTTAATACTATCATTAATATTTTTCAAAAGTATATTAAATTACTATACATTTTAATAATTAATCTGTGTGAAATAGTACAAGTAATTTTAGTATATACCTAATTTAGAAAAAAACAATTAATAATTTTGATTAAGGGGGCCTTGACAGTTTTACATTAAATTTAGGGAGCCTCACGACAAAAAAAATTGAGAAATACTGTACTAGATTATAGTGTAAAATATCTAAATATAATAAATATAACTAGCTGTTCCGGAAAAAGATCATGTTTTTAATGTTGCATTTCAATTTGAAAACTACATATACATTTTTCACTGTTTATTTTTCTAACATAATTTATATTTATTGAAGAAATATATAAACAAATTTTTTGACAAAGGTTGGTTGCTCAATACACAGTCAAATATTAACCAAATATATCATAACGCATTATGTCAAAACAAGAATGATATTCACTTACAAAAGAAAAAAATGAGCAAGGTGCTAAAAACAAGAAAACACCAAAAAAACTAAACAATTTTTCAAAATTAGTTTGAAGTTTATAAGATAACTATTATTGAATAATATTATAATATAAATAATATACCTAATCATAAAATAAAATATGCAAAATATTTTAAACATGTTTTTAGTTTTTTATGAGCACTAGAAAATAATACTCCACTTTACCAGACTACTATTAGAATTAGGAGTAGAATCATAATAGTTTTAATTTAATTTAAAGATTTTAAGAAGGATGCAAATATCCAAAGAAGTGACTAAATTATACATAATATTTTTTTCTAATTGATGTCTACTCGATAAAAATATTGCCAATGAATAAAATGCAAATGTAATGTATAATTACAGGCTCCAAATTTATTATACCAACTCAATTAAAAAAAAAACTTTTTATGATTCAATGTTTTTGTAAATACTAACTTCAATTTTAAAAAATATTAGCATTTTAATTCTGAAGTTTTAAGACATTTTGCATTTAACAGAATGAATATACAGGCCTTCGTAGGACAAGAAGCGCGCTCTGGTGACTATAGAACTGTGGTAATATTTTCAATCAAGAGTGTATACGTATCAATACACCTTGTATATTTGATTTAAATTTTATCTGGATATCATAATACAGTTCTTAACAGATAATGCTTGTAATCGTTGTATAATGCATGTTGATATAAAATTGAAAATAAATATATTTGTTTATTTTTTCCCTTCTTAAAAATTTTTTTTAGAAAATTGCTCCTGTGAATTATATTATGTATGAACAAGAACGCACAAAAGTGCATCGGTTAGTAAGGTCATGGGAGGGGTTCAAACTTAAACAGACATATGGCCAGTATTTTGAATTTCCAAAGCTGAAAAGTGAATTATCAATTATTTATTCATCTGATCAGTTTAATAAAACACATATTTATAAACTTCTAGAATATTTGAGAGAAACAGATTTAACAACTGTCCTACCACAAGTTAGTAAATTATGTGCATTAGTTTTAACTATTCCTGCAACCAGTGCTTCTGCTGAAAGATCTTTTTCGGCTCTAAAAAGGATAAAGACTTATTTAAGAAATAATCAAAGTCAAAATAGACTTTCAAATTTATCTTTATTTTCTATAGAAAAATATGTTTTAATGACTACAAAATGTGAACCAAATTTGTATAACGATGTGATTAACGATTTTCTAAAACAAAATCGAAGAATCGAGTTGTCTTATAAGTAGTATAATGTAGTAAACTTGTTAACTTGTTATTTAATAAAATTGTATAAAATAGAGATTCCTTTTTTATTAAAATAAAAGTACTGTTATTGCTATACTTTTTAATTATGAAAATATAACCAAAAATTGCTTAGATATATTTTTAGGGGGGGGGGGGAGAATGTATGTAGTTGTTTAATTTTTGTAAGGTAAAATCAGTAAAATAAATTCTTAGAGGTAGTAAAAAAAAATGGAGTTACAGGTAGTTATAATTTTTGGTGATTGCTTACACCACTGACGAATCCACGCCACGCCACTGCGAACACTGATCATAATATACTAAAATCAAATATGAACTACAACTAATAAATAACACTTGAACAGTTAACAATTAAAATACAACTAACTTTTTAATTTCAGCTCTCTGATATTGTCCTAATACAATAATAATAATATTGTAATAATAGTAGAGGTAATTATATTATATAGTTTAGTATACTTTTGTGTGTTATTGGAATTTAAACATTAATCAGTACACGTCCGCGCCATGAGGGCCCTCACTAGCAGAGATGGGCAAAATCAGTAAAAAATTGATTTAAAATCAAAATCCGAAATCACCGTAAAATTGATTTTGAAAATCAAAAAATCAAATCTTATAAAATAATGATTTTTAAAATCAAAGTTCAAAATCATTAAAACTATTGATTTTAAAATCAAAATCAAAATCATTACCAAAAAGATTTAATTAGCTTATAATTTGTTAAACCACAAAATCACATATGATTAGGTTTTAGGTATACTATGAGAATTAGTAATTTTTTTTATATTATAAAGCTACATAAAGTTTTGATTTATGAAATCAAATATATACATTTTTATTATTGATCTGTCGATTTCAACATAGGCTTAACTGCTTAAGTTTAAGTATATATCAATATCCTATACAGTATTCATATGTAAATGTAAGTCACTGAAATATATTATTTTATATATCATATTGTAATGGGATTACGTAATATCATGTATTTGCTCATAAAAACAACCAGGAATGCGACCACACCCAAAAGTGTTTACGACTAGAATACCACTCTTAGTCATGAGGTCCATATCAAGGACGACTGTACACTCGCCGCTCACTTCAAAGGACGCCGCCACCATATATATAGGGGACAGCGAGACAGCCTGAGTTAGATGTACCAGGGCCGCCAAGACCGAGCGGGCCGCTTAGCCACCAGCCATTACATACAACTTACACGGAGATTATCGACTACTACAACGAGTCAACTCACGACGCTGCTATTCACCACGACTATATTAATTATTATTGGTTTTAATAAATTACAATTGATTTATATTTAAATTGACTACATTTTATTGTAAAAGTGCAACAAGCTTTTGGATCCCTGAAGGGCTGCATGTAACAATATAGTCATATAGACTTTGGAACTTAATAATTAAAAATGGTAAAATACCTGAAAGAAAAAACTGAAATTCAAATATCATGTATAATTTATAAATTAATATAGGTATAATAGTTTTGTATTTATGATTATAATGTTTCAACAAAATACAATAAAATGTTTAATACTTAGCTAAAAAAAATTGCTGATTTCCTTTAAGAAAGACGAGTTTTTCAAATGTTTTATCTGAAAGATTTGATCTTTTTGGAGTATTTATCATTCCAACAAATGAAATCTTTCGACTGCAGCAGAAGATGGCAATACAACATTATATTTAAAAAACAACTGTTTTACGTGAGGAAATTGGTTCAAACAATACAAATCTTTACCTTTATCTTCTAAAAATTTCTATACTTCAATATCGATTTTGGAGTGAAACTTGATTTGTTCCAAAGGTGTAGATGTAACGAGGTTATATTGTTATATATTGTTATTTATATTTATTGTTATTTATAAAAATAACAATATATATATAAAATAAGTATACATCATAAAAATAGTATAGGTATAAAGTATATATTAAAATTTTTTTTTATTGATTAATTTTAACTTTTCAATATTTTATTTTTTAGCATATTATAATATAGCCTATAGACCTACAGGCTATAGCTCAGAATCTAAAATGAAAGCTTACCTTTAAATGTCTCTTTAAGTTAGAGGTTGCAGTAGTAGATTCACGGTGAGTCATCATAGGAACACATAACTGACATTCAGTTTTTATTTTCGAATTAGAGTCAATAGATATAAGTTTGAAAAAACGACCGTCATAAAGTGCGTTTGATAGTGTCAAAATTAGACTCTGAGTTCGTTAAGATTTGTTCGTTATTATGAACTAATGGTACATAATTTCAGTGGCGGCTCGTGGTGTTCAAAGTAGGTGGTGTGCAATTATTGCAAAAGTTTGTTTTAAAAAAAATTAATCTGTTTTAAGTATAAATGTAATAAGTTAAATATTTATTAGCATTAATAATAATAATAATAATAATTAGTATATTTTATATTTTGTTTATCGCGTGCGACCACCTGACGAGTGTGCAGCTGTAGCTGCACACCAAAGTCACATATAATTGCCGATTCGAACTCGACAACCAAACGTATTTTACACGGACAGACGGTGTTCAGACCAGGGGTACGACACTCCGTGAATTGGTCGGATCGGGCGATTGTGGCCTTGAAAATGGTCTCTAGAGGGGCGTGGCATACGTTATCATAGAACGATATCATATCAATATTATCATAGAACGATATCATTTTACATTTGTGCCATTATGTACAATACTTAATTTTACCAAGATTTAATATGTGTATTAAAATTCAAACTGTAAAATAAATTACTTAATGTAAGTAATAACTAATGAAAAATATTTTAATACGTAAATTAATGACAAGTGTAACAATAGGTAATTGGATATGGAATAAAATACTAGGGTTAAAGAACAAACACATTGGAAATTTAGTAAGAATATATTGTATTTATTTAATGAAAATAGAATCAAAAATGCAAAAGGAAAATTAAACCGAATCATTAAAGTAAAAGAATACATCAATTGCATTATAAGAATACTGATCGACTCGCTGTAATAAAAGAACACATCAATTTTATTAACTTAAACAATTGTATAGTTAAGTCCTTAAAAGGACTGCTTAGTGAAAAGTGCTTAAAGCAAACATTACAACCATAAGAAAACTAATTAATATCAACAGCTGGTTTTTTTTTAAATTCAATATTTATAAATTCATAAGGATTTGAACTTTTCTGTTCTTTTTACCAGTACGCAATGCTTGATATTCCTTGTTGGTTCTATTCAATGAGTTGTGAATTCGAAATCTTAAGAATAGGTTAATTAAGAAGTCTTTAGGAAAATTATCACACGGATGATAGAAAAAAATTGTATTTAAAATTAAATCTTTGAGAGTCTTACCCACGTTGGGCTGAGGAGCTAATGAAATGAAATGTCTATCAAAAACCTGATTGATTTGAAAAATATACTGATAAAAAGTAGAATTGGGCATTATTAAATTACCGAATAATAAAGAAGGATTTTCTTCATATGATTTAAAATGGCAATAAAAAGTTTCACTGGATAAGGAAGTAGTTGCTTGTGCAAAATTTAAACAAGTTGTACATTGATGAACCTTTAAACATTGCCCGATTAAGTAACCACAAATGTATGTCAAAGCATTTTGTTCAGGTAAATTAATTTGTTTGTAATTAGTGATGTTTGTAATAGGTAATGGAATTTGAATAGGGTTCTTTTCTGGGAAAAGTATTTTAATTTCACTTATAGGAGTTTTTTCAAGACTGAGTAAGACCTCATCTAAATCTTGAATACAGTTAGCACCTTCAGAGTGTTCAAAGTAATCAAGACAAAAAAGTTTTTTAAAAGTTCTTTTAAACTGAATGCATGTAGGATTTATGCAATTTCCATTTTGAATTCTTACAGTTCCAAAAAAATTTTCTAATTTGTCTTGATTTGTCCTATAAGTACATATTGGATCAATTTCGGAATCACTGTTATTAGTTAAATTTTGATAAAGACGATTTAATCCAGCTATTGATATTAACCAGCCATTAATAAATTTTATATTATATTGTCTACCTATATTAACCCACTCATTTTTTTCAGCATCAAATTTTTGAATTTCTAAATTTTCAAAATAATTAAACATTAAATTTAAAAAATCAGTCTGATAAGAAGAGTTTGAAAATGGTAATGAATAACGTTTTGATCCCTCATGATTAGAAACTTCAGTAGAAATGGGACGAGAATTGAATATATCAAACAGCTTATCCATGGAATCTATGAAATCAATCGTATCGAAGGCACTATGCGGTAATTCATTACAAGAAACTAGGGTAGTCATCCCTGCAACCACTGTATGACTAAAAACTTGAGCGGCAAATTTGACTCTCATTTTTTGAAAACTATTAGGATTTAAATGAACATCAGTTAATTTAGGTGCCAATCGATGTTGATTACTTTTATCAAGGTCATAAAAATTTGTAAGATGAATTTTTTCTGCAATTTTATTTTGAGAATTGAAACGATAATTGAAAAAGTTATTCCTAGTTGCCTTTAATAAATGAGGTGGATCAAACATGTAAACAATTTCTTTGTCTCCAACATTAAAGTAAGGGGTCTGGGGGGTAATGCCTTGTTGATCTGCAAAGTGCTTAAAATTTGAGCCTAAATCAGAAATCATGACTACTACATTAAAAGAAATATTGGACAATTTCTGAACAGTTTGAAAGATTATATTTTTCAGATCATATCCAGTACAAGTAGTAGCAACAAAAAAATAGCCTATAGGTTGTTTCCAAGAACTATGCAAACCACTGATCATAATGACCATAACTGATTTAGTAACATCGCAAGACTTAATGAATCCTGTATTATGAAAACCTATTATTTCATCTTTTTTGAAATCAAAGAAAAGAAAAGATTTAAGCGACATTTCATCTACACACAAGATACATTCTTTGGACTTCACTGTCATGGAGTTTGCTTTCACTGCTAAAACTTTAAATAAAAAGTCATTCAAACCAGGATTAATTTCCCAATTTTCTGTAGTTCTTTGTAAAGTTCTAACAGAAGGCAAACTCCAGGATTTCCGTAGAAATCTATATACTTTAGGACCCATAAAATGTACCATGAGTGCAAATTGTTTTATTTTATAAGAATACCTATGTCCATGGGGATCTTGCAATGTTAGTTTGGACTGTATTTTAACAAAATTCGCAAAACCCTTATTCAGAAAATTGTCGCACATTAAATGAAAAAACTCTAATGTTGAAGACTTTTTTTCTAGGTCAGAACAATGTTTTTTTAGTGTAAGAAATTGTTTATGAAGATCATTAAATTTATTTTTATGGATACTTAGCAGTTTGTTCAGTTTATCCTTTCTTGGTGTGTTACTTGACAGACACTGATGTGTTTGGGTTTGAGAATTAGAAGTGGCTGTGGAACTATTGCCTGAAGAATATGATAATGATCTCGACACAGAGCTGGCTACAAAAAAAAATACAACGTTAATATAATTTGACTTGCTTATTATGTTATTATAGGTATAAATATAAGTAAATATTTACTTTTAGGAGTTGAACAAGATATGGCTGATTTGTTTGACCAATTAATAGACGATATAGAATTACTATAAATGTCAACAGAATCAGCCATTATTCTTGAAGTACTACTAGTACTAGGGATGGGTTCCTCGGGAATCATTATTAAACTGCTGTTTTGTTGCAACTCTGCATCAGGCCAGTTGAATATAGAAGGCACTGCACTATTAATCAACCAACCATTATTGTTGAAATCTGTTTCAACGAAGTGCTCAGAACATAATTTATATGCTTTATTACAAATGGATGGACCCTTTTCCAAAAGATCCGGACGACGGCAGAAATTAACCCACTTATTAAATCTAAAGCATTATAAAATTATATATTACACAACATTGTTAGATTAATACATTATTAATATTATTAACCAATTATATTAATATTTACCTTTCGTAATCCTTCGGAAATCTATGGAAAGTAATATTAATTGACAAGGGTCCATACTTGTTAGTACATAATATGCACTTAATAACCATTTTGCAAATTCAGCAAATTACAATACAAAATTATGTACACTGACGGACACTGGTATTCGCACACGTGTAAAAGTAAAAATAAACTTAGTAAACAGTGGAAACAATTTTTCTATGCTGGAAACAACCCGACCCCGCGCAGAATACCCTGCCTATTAAGCGGATACGGTTCTTCAATACGGGTATAACATCATGTTGGTACACGGAAACAGTTTGAATGTTCGGACTTCAGATCATAGGTAAACACTTCACCCATCAGCTGATCGAGTGTCGCTTCTATATTGTTCTATGGTTCAGACTGAGCTGCACACCAGTTGATGAGTATTTGTTGCATAACTCGATTACATTTTAGGAGTATAATAATAAATATAGTCGTTTGTTTGTTTTTAAAATTAATTTTTTTACATAATAAATACAGTTTAACAGAATATATTGTACTAAAATTTATTTATTATTAGGTAAACATTTTATTATACATTTTCACTATTATATCTAATAAATCTATGTGGTGTGCGCACACCTGCACACCTAGGCACGAGCCGCCACTGCATAATTTTTGTTGGTGACGGTAGACGAAATACTTGTCGACTTTTCTAATCCCTCGTTGTTGATGATATCTTCTTCTTGACTTAAATTAATTTTGTAAACGGACACAGTAAACGTTGTATGAAGTCATAAACTACAGTCTACAAGTCGACAAAACGAACACACATGTGTCTAAAGACTAGACCAAAACCTAACCTAACCCACCGGCCACCGTAGTCTTGGAACCGTTTTCATAATATTGGTAAGTGGTAACCATCGGTCTAACATCATGCTGGTGCGTGAAACCGTTTTCATGTTTTTCGTAGGTTCAGACGTCTTGATCATAGGTAACCAAGACTCCAATCAGCTGATCGAGTGTCGCTTCAATATTGTTCTAATAAATTCCCTATGTTGTACATGTAAAAACGACATCATTACGGTCCGACGCGCATTCTGGCGGAATGCGATAATTCCGGACCACTTTTATATACACAGTTCGGCGTCCTTCCTCTAATGTTCATGGGTTTTACCCACAGATATCTATACTAACTAGATATGGTACTAGACTAGTTTTACATTGACAGTAGTGAAGCTCGGCGGCGCGCTCTTATCACGCATCCGCCATGTTTTCGGGGGTCAAAACAATGATTTGAATGTACGAAAAAGATACAATTTAAATTAATGTTCATGAAGTAATAAAAGATTTAAATTTAAACACGCATTCAATTTCAAACCATAACTATATAAATAATAAATCTTACAAATATAGATCAATAAATGCATATTATAGCAACTATTTGGGACTTATTAAATAACTTGAATGGTATAGTGTGGTCTCGTGAAATAATTTTAACCGTATAACATCAGTTACATACACAGATATATTAAGTTACTTTATATAATTATATATCAGTTAATTAATAATAATAATACAATACAATAATTAACTTCATAATATACAAATCACTTCATATCATACTCAATTAATTTCAAAGAATAATGATTATTCAAATTTATAATTCAGGTATAAGGAGATATATATTTTAAATTTACTATATTATAATATTATAGAATACAAATATAAAAATGTTAATACAAAGTAAATAAGTACAATAGATTCATGAATATGAAACAAAAAAATATTATTAATAAAGTTTAAACATAATTATTTATTGGTTATTAAATAAAATCAGCTTAGTTAAGACACGTCGTTTGCTAACTTGTTTATCTTTAGATTTAGCAATATAGTGCAGACGTATTTTGAGATATTCCTTACAAATTAAAGATACTAAATGTAATTTATGGTTTTCTAGAAAACAATCATCCAAACAACTTAAATTTTTAAATACATTATTATTGTAGACATAGTTCTTAGTATGAATAACAATTTTAGAATATGAACCCAATTTTAGATGTTTAAAATTATCTGTGAGTTGAATAAGAGTATGTTCAACAAATTTCACGATTTTTAATACATCAGTAGAACTCCGTACTAGTCCTCCCCTATTTTTAATATTAACTAGAGCCGAATAAGAATTTTTATGACTATAATTATGATCTATAGTAGTTTTTCTTTCTAGTAAACTTTCAGTACACGTAGGGCATTCTATTTTCTTAAAAATGGTTCTTACTATAAATCCACTAATATAGTATAAAATATTATCTTTAAGAATATTTATGTTAACACTATCATTTTCAAAAGAAAGTAAGTCTGGTATTTCTTCATCATCATTTTCAATAATTTCTTCAGATTTTCTTTTTTTCCAACGTATTTCAAAAATGCTGTCATAACATGAATTATCTAATGCAACACAGTTTGCAGCATAAGATGAAGTTATTAAATTCTTTAAACACAATTGTTTCATAGCTGTTCGAAATTCCAGAACATTATTGTGTATTATTGTATTATTGGGTTATTATTGTGACCAAACCTTTGCCTTATTTTAGAAAAAAATATTTCTAAGGGGTCTTGAGAAAATTTGTATGTTAAAAGATATTTATAATCAGTAAAAATAAAGAGTTCTTTAGCCAAGTTTAATATTGATTTGACAGCTACAGCAAAACCTACAAATATAAATATAATAATGAGTATAATGATATAAATATACAAAATAATACATGTTACGTTATAATTCCAACAAATATAATCACTGACCGATCACAAATGTTTTCCTAGGAGTTGAATGAATTGGGATTCCTTTAATATCTGTTAGACTTAACAAATAGTCTACCAAAGGTTTTATCATATTTTCCACTTCTTTAATGTTGTCTCTGTATAATGGTTTTTTAAATCCTTTACCAAAGGGGTTACGGGTATTAAGAAAGTCAAATATTCTATCTATTACCCTAATAAATTGTTCAGTAGCTTCACCTATAGTAAATTAAAATAACTGTACTTATACTGAATTACTGATTATAATTAAAACTTACTGTTTTTAAATGTAGATTCTTCTAACGACCTAAGGAATTGTATTGCATCAGCAGTTGACGAGCTTAAGGTCTGTGCGGCCATTTTCACCTTCATTATGTTTTTCCGCCAATCAATATGAGCTGATGTTAACTTATTAGCCAAGTGCAACCCTATGTTCTCTTGGGCTATATCAATGAAGTACAGAATCATTATTATACTATATTTTATATAATAAGATATTTGTGAAATGAAGTAAATCTAATCTTTTAATATACCTTTATTAAGATCTTGGATAAATGTCCAATCAATTATGCCATCAACACTTTTAAATTTTCGGTAAGTATCAAGGGCATTTCTTGCTAATTTAATATTGTGGCATGCGTCTGGTATATAATAAATCTAAATAAAATAAAAATAAATAAATTATACAGTGTTCATTTTTATTATATATAGTTTTTACCTTCCGATCTATGCCAGGAATATAAAAATATTCTACTAACTCATCATATGACCCATGAAGTTTACATCCAAGATGTGTCATAGTGGATAAGTTAGTACTGGTGCCATCACATGTTACACCCCAAACTCGAACACCAACATTATTTGCCATTGTAATTGCGGTTGTTACAAGACCAGCTTGTATCACTGCAGTACTTTTAGATTGTAAAAAGTAACCAATTGGATGTTTCCACTTTCCATTTAATCCAACTAACATAAAAACTAATGCTTCTGTAGCTGGGGTCTCCTGTGCTTCAGCTTGAATACCTCCAAAATCACAATAACCCAGAAATTTATCTTCACTAGCATCATACAAGATTTTTTTTCTTATACACATCGAATCAAAAACTAAATTACAATCCTTGTCACTGTGTGGAATGCATTTCATATATTCAAATACTTCATTGAAGAAACCTGGATTAGCATTGACAGAAGAAGTCCAGTTGCTAATGGACGATGGATGTGGTAGGCTTAATATAGTTCTGTAATAGGTAGCAGTGATATATTTGAATACATAATAACTAATAATAGTGTTTAATTACCGGCAAAAATTATAAGCTTTAGGAGAATAATAATGCAACGTCAAAGCAAATTGTTTCATCTCATTGGAATAGCGACAACCAGTTCCTTTATTACTATTTTTAAGCTCATTATTAAATAATTCTAATACAGACCCTGGCAGAGAAAGCATTCCAATAGCAAGAATAAAGCATTAAAGCATTATAAAAACAGCAAAACGTTTATTTATGATTAAAAATTCTTACCACTAAAATGATTTTCAATTAATTTTCCATGTTCACCATCAATTAAGCCTTTATTGCGTAAATCATCTAAGAGATCTTTTAAATTAATAATTGTTTTTTCTTTCCTCCTAAGCTTTTGTTTTAAAATTTTTATTTTATTTTTTAACTTGGTTTCACCTGTAAAACTATTTACAGTTTGTACTTCTACATCTTTTGTAGACTGTGTCTCATTCATTAAAATATCATCTGGTTCAGGACCATTATCTAAAAAAAATTATTAAAACCTAATTAAAAAAAATAAAATACCTAATGATAAAATTTAAAACAGTTGTAATACCATCAATAACTGGTGTAGTATCATTATTAACTGGTCTAGGAATTTTCGTCAGAGGATTTATTCTGTGTTTTTTAACTTTTTGGTAGTATGGTGGAAATGATGGAAACACTGATGGAGTAGCATCCAATCTTAATAATGGTCTACTTGCACCTGGGCGTATTTGAAAGTCTTCATTAGTAAAATGATCACTGCAAATTCTACTGTGCTGTGATGGTTTGAAATTTTTTCTTTTTATAGCTTCAATCCACTTCTTCATCAACTCCTCATTGGAATGTGGAAATCTTATTTATAATAAATAATAATTTAAACAAAATACAGTAAGGTTATGGTTGTAATATAATATGAATATAATACTAGTATTTTTTAATTGCTAATTTTGTTTTAAATAGGTAGGACACTTACCGGAAAAAATGTGTTGACTGTCCAGCTGAAGCTCTATTTTGACACGAATGACACACGAATGAGGCATATTTAAGTATTAATTAGGAGTACATTTTAAAATCGAATTTCACATGTTTGTATTGTATTTAGGTTAATGCAAAAATATTTTGACCCCCGAAAAAATGGCGTCTACATCGACGGTGAGCTTCACCTGATAACGGGAGTTCGCTATCTAGTTAGTATAGATATCTGTGGTTTTACCTTAGATCATATACAATGGATGGAGCTATGTGTGTATTTTTCGTATACCGAGCTGTGTCCAACATAACCCCCCACTACCCATTTAATTTCAAGGTACAACGAGTTATTGCGCATGCGTTTCGCCAACAATCACTATAAAATAACTAATAAGTGGGAGATTATGTTGGACACAGCAAATGATTAAAGTAGCTCCATCCATTGTATTATGATCTAAGGGTTTTACTTTATGACGTATGATAGCATCAAATTATATTATAATGAAATAATATTAAATTATTAATATAGGCGTTACCAATCATGGTCCCTACAAGGCTACAAACCATCGATTATGTATACGTTATGTAAAAATTAGTTGTAGATTAATTTGTGCTCAAAATCATTGAATTGATTTTTAAAAATCAAAATCAAAATTGTTAAAAAAAAATATTTTGAAAATCAAAACTCAAAATCATGTCAAAAATGATTTTGAAAATCAAAAATCATGATTTTGATTTTAAAAATCGTTTGATTTGAAATCATGCCCGTCTCTGCTCAGTAGTCGTATTTAGATTTCGCGCTAACCGAGCTCGCTACTCGGATTAGTTTCATAGGAGAGGATTTCAGCATTTTATATTTATTAATTCATAATAAACCTTTATTATTTTCTAATATTTAACAAATAAATGTTTTGGGCGAATGAATACTATCGGGTGGATAATTGAAGTAAAATTTCCAAATATTTACAGTAAATAGAGGAAAACTTTATGTGTGTTTAACAGTTTTGATTTTGTCGATAACACATTTCGTTCTTTTTTTATGGTTAGGTAAAAAACTCAATACTTTCAAAACGTATCAAAAAAATCGAAACACTTAAGCATAAGAAATTTTCTCCTTAATTTTTCAATATAAATTTAGAGAATTTAGTATTATTACAGACTTCACAGTATTAAAACTCGTAAACCATGTATTTGCTCTCATAATTCGGGTGGGTAGCGTCCTCTTAAATAGGTACCTGAGGTGCCTACTTATGTACTACACATGAATCACAATCACACAATACACAACATATCATAAAAAACCTCTTAAGTCTCAGCTATTTTTTTCTAAACTCTTCAGCAAGAAATTTTCTATTAACAGCATCGAACATATTATTGACCATAATTGAACATCAATTTAATGGTATCTTCACAGTAAAACCTTAAATTTTTTTATTTTTATAAAATTCCATACCATTTGCTACTGACATACTAAACAACTATAAAGTATAATTACTTGTAAAGATAATTCTGCATTCATTAATAATCTAAGGTATTATTCTATTAATATGATAGGTACACGGGTAGAAATAATTTATTAAAAATTGGTGTTTGAACTGTGTCCTAACCCGATGCAGGACCAGTAATGTCAAAGAGGTGTTTTTGGTGTTTTTGGTGTCATTAGTGTTTAATTAGTGTCATGTACTGAATTTGACCAATTTTGGTCCGCCACAATTGAGTGGTGTCCTAACGGTGTCTTGAAATACTAGAGTATATTTTTTTACAGTTCCGATTAAAAACCGCGTCACAAGTTTGTCCCCCCCAAAACATATGGGTTGTTGACTTATAACATTTTAAGGCGTTGGAATTAATATTATGCCAAGTGTCTATTTCTGATTCAAACATGTACAAAAATAGATTATCAAGTACCAACCCGTACCGAAATTGTTGAATTTATTGTCTTAACGTAATAGCAGTAAATAACGTAATAACATAATGAGTATCTTATTAAGATGTACAAGCAATTTGCAGTTTTAAAAAACTCATAATTCACTTTAACACTAAAATATAATAGGTAAAAAGCTAATGAGACTTGTATAAGAAGTCAATTCATACTAATTATTAAACTAACGGGGCTATCACGGGATCTGCATAAAATCTACTATGTTACCTCTACTCACTTGTAAGCAAAATGTCAGTGAAGTGCTATCTTAGAAGTATTACGTTCTAATAGGGACCAGTTAAAAATAGAGTCTTAAGCGTGAAATCGTATTATGCGGGTTATGTTGAACGTTGTCAGAAACACGGGACTTGTAAAAACGAGCGTATTAGGCGGGGTATTGTCTTACACGGATTCTACTGTTGGTTCTATAAATCTATGTCTGTATTATGCTATCCATGTCTGTATTGTGATATCTATAGTAGTATTTGGTACAACGCAAAGTCAATTTTATTTTATTTTCATAAACTGTAAAGTGTAAAGTAGACAACTATATACGCATTGATTTCGAGACAAGTAAGTTTGGTATTTATTTTATATAATTATATACTACAGTGAAACCTCGGTATCTCGAAGTCGTAAGAGACCAAAAAAAAATTCGACATATCGAAACTTCGAGTTAGAGAGGGAATTTAAAATATAAATAAAATTTTGAAATAAAAATGTTTAATTATTGGGAAAAATGTGTATTTATAATATAGAATTTATTTATACATTGAATACATATTATGTATGAGTATTCGTCATTTGGATAAGTATACATTATTTTCTATGAAAGTATAAAATCTGACATTTTTGTTTGTTTTTGTTTAGTATTAGAAGTATTTTCAATAAAACTACCTAAAATATTAAGTGCAGAAAAAATATTGTCAGAAACTCCTGACTGTTGTTGAACGTATCTTCGAAGTTCATGTATATAGTTTTCAGCTTGGGCACCACGTATGAAAGGTTTAACAACAGCAATTTCTTCCTCGTCGATTGCTTCATCGGCAGAATCTGTCTCTGGCTCACTGAGAAAATCAGATGTTTTAAAAATGTCCGCATCGGTTAAACTTTCTGATGTGCTCAAAGTAGAATCAATATCCAAAAATTCTTGTTATGAAATATTGATATCAGAGTGTTTTCTTTGATATTCAAGCCATTCTTCGGGAATGTCTTCAAATACTTCTTCTACTTCGTCTCCTTCTAAAAAAAAATTAAATGTAAATTATTAAATGTGATCTACAAAAATGTTATGTACTTTCATATATTTATCCATATGAATATATTTTTTATGTGTATATTGTACGTTTATGTTTACCTTTATTAAATTCTGGTTTTCTGAATCCTGCATTACGAAAACAGTTGGAAATCGTAGACGTAGAAACAGCTTTCCAAGAACTGTAGAGCATATAAAGCAAGCAGCTAATTTATTAGCAATCTAATAAATTTACGTCTATGATGGCTTCATGTAATTCAAGTTTACGTAAATGTCTTTGCATTATTTTTTTACGGTAATGGTGCTTTAAATTTTTAATTACACCCTGATCCATTGGTTGCAGCTTGGAAGTCATATTTGGTGGAAAAAATATAATTTTAATTGCATTCAATGTTTTTTGCATAATTTTTGGGTGAGCCGAACAATTATCAAAAAAAAATAGTACATTCCTTTTTCCATTGACAAATTTTTTATCCATTTTATGTAAAAAGCTTCATAAATTTGAGAGGTCATCCACGCTTTTTTATTAAACTCATATTGCACAGGTAATGATTTCACGCTTTTAGGTTTTTGATATTTACCAATGACTAAAAGTTTACTTTTTTCTGTGCCAGACATATTAGCACCTAATAAAACTGTGATTCTTTCTTCATATTTTTTTCCACCATGGCATGGCTTACCTTTGAACGTTAAAGTTCTGTCCGATAAGAATTTAAAAAAAAGACCGAGTTCGTCAAAGTTAAAAATATCTTGCTCGCTATAATTTTGAATTAATTATGGTAAAATGTTGGTCACGTAATCTTCACCATCGGTCTCCGATACTGCAGCACTTTCTCCTAATATTAATTTTGAAATAATTCCACTTCGCATTTTAAATTTATGTAACCAACCTGAACTACTGTGAAATTCAAGTCCAAGTTCTTGAGGAAACTCTTTTGCTTTTTCTTGAATCAGGGGCCCTGACACAGGAAGGTTATGATCTCTTGCTCTATGTATCCACTTTAACATTGGATCTTCAATCTGAGGAAAATTTTAAACTTTCAATTTCTTTCTTTGAGGTGAACACGAAGAATCTTCAATATTTTTTACAATTTTATCTTTATTTTTCAAAATTGTTGACAAAGTGTTAGCAGGAATGTTGAAATCTGCCGCAATATCTTTTTTCTTTTCACACCTTTTTCAACTTCTTTTATAATTTTTAATTTGTCACCAACATTTAAGCACTTCAATGACCGTTTATTTGACATTGTAAAGAAAAATAATAAAATATAATATATATCTTAATAAAATATAACACAAAACGTATATGTAATTAAAATCACGAACAAGTATAAACGACAGAATTACGACTAAATAAAATCAGAAAAAATAATGCCCATGTAACTTTATCGCCGTTATCGGTCACTATATGAACTGTATAAATTTATACAGTATATTACATACAACGTTTTGTGTATAAGCTTTGTCATTCAATCTTATATTTAATAGTCAGGGCATTTTATACGTTATCTAATCTGCCATATATTTGAGTTAGTGAATCATAATAGGTGGTAGGTACCGGATACTGACTTCGACTTATAGAAATATTCGACATATGGAAATTCGATATACCGAAATAACTGAGTACGTAAGTAAAATACTGAATGATCGGGACTGAAAAAAAAATTTGACATACAGAAACTTCGAGATACCGGAGTTCGAGATACCGAGGTTTCACTGTATTGTAATTTGTATTGCATTATATTGTGGTAAACTTGTACATAGTTTTGGTTATTTCATTATAATATTATGTTCTACAATTTAATAAAATATATAGGTACCTATTCATATTTAAGTAGTTGATCTAAACATTGATGGCTAACTAGTACCTAGGTAGTGTAGTAACCCTAGTTACTACGTAACACTTAAAGTCCCAACAGATACCATATTTAATATAGTATACTGGAGTGCGTTCAGAAACGTTTTCTATGTAGAATTAACTTTTTCGCCGGGGAACGATGTGACTCCTCCCATCTTATTGAACCATTCAGTTATCAATAAGGTTACCGAGGTATGTTAACCTCATAGTAGAAGAACATGTTTATAATACTTTTAATATAAAAGTGATAAAGTGATAATATAATCATTAATCATAATATTTATAAATTGTATACTATTTTATAGGTTTATTTTGATTTGTACCAAAATAAAATTATTAATTTTATATGAATTTTAATTTTTTTTGGTGTACATCATTTAAACATTTGTTATTTGTAATTGAAATTATTTTATTATGAGTAACCATCCCAGAGTTCTAGCTATAGCGGCAAGTAATTCGTTTAAATTACTTTTAGACTGTGGACTATATTTTTTTAATGATGATGATGATAATGATAATGACGAGGATTTAACCTGTGAGAAAGAGGTTCCAATCAGGATCAAAAACTACATCGAAAATGTTGTTGTTCATTATTCAGATAATGTATTTCAAAGCCATTTTAGGTAAATAAAAGGTTTATTTTAAATGTACCTATATAATATTATTCATTCTGGTAAATTGCAAAAATGAGATAAATATATATTTCTTTGGTATAATTGCAGTTTAGCTACCACGAGATTTTTTCAAATTTTTTTTTCGAAACCTAGGTAAATCAACGTTTTAAAAATGATGGTGCCAAAAAATTTGCGCAAACTCTTAGTTTTTGAGTTATAACTGTTAGAAATTCGAAAATTCCCAAATATTGCATTTTGAATTTTGAATTTTTTTTGTGGTAGACTTATGTATTTTGACTATTTAAAAATGATGGTGCAATCAGAATTTGTCGATCGAATTGAGTTTGAAAGTTATAGCGGTTTTAAGTTAAAAATTTTGGATTTTTAAAGAAAAATTTTTTTTGTTGAACCAAGGCGCCAAGTGAGGTAGTTGCGCCTTACCTGCTCCGGTTATATTTTTCAGATATATAATTTCTCTGAATCCAAATATCGTAAATATAAATGTTTCTGTAATTGGCAAAAAACAACTTTGTTTAATTCCGAGGTTCACCTGAGGTGGTTTTACACAACAAATCGGGGGATATTTTCGATTTGCGGAGCGGAGCGACGGCGCCGAGGAGCGTAGCGACGAGTGCCAATACACTCGTGATCACTGCAACTTTTAACTTTCATAACTTAAAACCGCTATAACTTTCAAACTAAATTCGATCGACAAATTCTGATTGCACCATCGTTTTTAAATAGTCAAAATACATAAGTCTAACACAAAAAAAAATTCAAAATTCAAAATTTGGGAGTTTTTGAATTTCTAACAGTTATAACTCAAAAACTAAGAGTTTGCGCAATTTTTTTTTGGCACCATCATTTTTAAAACGTTGATTTACCTAGGTTTCGAAAAAAAAATTTGAAAAAATCTCGTGGTAGCTAAACTGCAATTGTTCCCTTACTTTAAAGTTTCATAGATTCATAGATGATAATGAAAAGCATAGCATTTATAAAAAACCATAGGACATTATTTAAAATATATTTATATTAATAGTAGGTACCTGCCTATTAACTATTTTATTTTCTGTTTTGTTTTATTTTTTGAATTTTATGAAATACAATTTTACATTTAACTATGTGTAATTTTATTTGTTTGTAAGTTAGTACAAACCATTAAACAATTTCTCATAAAATACACATGTAGTACAGTTAAACTTATTAAAAATGATATATTGGTAAATGGTAATACATTTATGGTAACTAGTAAGTGTGAAGCGAGGTGTGAAGTAACTTAACTTTTTAATATATTAATACTTAAACTAGTTATTTTTTCACTAAAGTATTTATTTGAGCATATTCATACCTATATTGGCTATATTAATTTTGATTCATTATTTTTATATAAGTTCTTACCTATGATTATCTTAACTACATAGCTAAATATAATTTGAATCCTAAACTTAATATATCGAATCTACTTTTAATTTTACATGAATACAATTTTATCTTGAATGAAAGTTAGACAAAAAAATCAGAAGACCAAAATAATTAAATGTCAATAAATGTGCGCCAACCACAAAAAAATTCCTGGATCCACCCTGTGAAATAATTATACTAATTACTTAATAAATATTAAAACATGCAAGAAGTATTATTTATTAACCTAACCTAACCTAGAGGCTATGTATAATGTTTTAAAGATATCTACTGACTATAATTTATAATTTTAGAGATTTAATTACCTACTACTATGTTATTGGCTAATAATTCTATAGTTTTACAATTTAATTTAATATAAAATTAGAATTAAATAATACAACACTAACTATATAATAATTATTGGTGTAATTGCGTCCATTATAGTATTATTTCAATATGATTCAGGATTCTGATTAAAGTTATACGCGCTACCATAAGTGGTTCAAGTGTATAACCCCACACTATTACTATAATAATATAACATATTAATTTAATATTGATTGTACAATAGCAAAATATACAACCCAACGCATACACTAAACAAACTGACAAACATTGTATACATTGTGGTTAGAGTTAAATAATTTTTTTTTGATTTTTAAGTACATTATTACATATATTATGTAAAATCTCATTAAAATCAGATCTTTACACTTTATATCGTTTATGTTTAATATTTAGATCAGTCGGAGAAAAGTTTGATATGGGCAAATCATCACTGTCAGTATCATTTTTCAGAATTATTAATTTAATAATAATGAATGCTTCCAATGTTATAATTTGGCCTCACGGAGAAGAGTTGGAACGGCAAAAAGAATTGTTTTTTCATATGGCAAGTATCCCAAATGTCATTGGAGCTGTAGATGGTACTTTGATTCCCATAAAGGCGCCAAAAGAAGACCCAGAAGTGTATGTAACACGAAAATGCAATTATGCAATTACCTTGCAAGCAATTACAAATGCCGAACTAAAATTTACCGATGTTTTTGTTGGCTATCCGGGTTCTGTGAGCGACACTCGTATATTTCGAAATTCAGACATATATGTGAATATTATGAAAAATGAAAAATTTTATTTTCCAAATGACGAGCATATCTTAGGCGATAAAGCATATCCTCCTCTTACATGGTGTGTTGAACCATACATTAACAGGGGTCGTCTGACTGAAGCTCAAAAAAACTTCAACTTCAACATTTCTAGAACTAGACAAACTGTAGAACGGTCGTTTGCTTTATTTTTTGGTAGATTTAGACGGTTTAAATACCTAGATATGTCAAGGACTGATTTCATCCCATCCACGGTTCTGGCAGCATGTATATTACATAATTTGTGTTTAAAAAACAAGTCAAATGTTAATGTAAATGACTATATTGAAGAAGGGATGAATTTTTTGAGAGACCAAAGAACTGAATGTTTAAATCCTGCAAGAGAATCATCAGAAGATCACTGCCGCACAGATGGAAAATTAAAAAGAGATACAATGTGTGAACTTTACAATGCTTAATACTGGAGCTGATTTCTGTAGTATATATTATGTTAAATTGTATTTGGTTAATATGTATTATATATTAAATTTAAAGGTAAATATTTTTTTTTAATTTTATTAATAAAAACATTGTACAAATTAAGCAATATCACAGTGTAACAATATTATTTTAGTAATAATTAAATTCATAAATCTTAAAAATATTAACAAATAAAATAAAATACAGACATAGTACATTCAATCTACTTCGATTGAGTTCTATCCTCTGTAGTAAAACATTAAAAAACAATTTTTCTTGGATCACAATTTTTCCAATAGTTTATCCATATATGTTTTATACGTATCAAGTGCAAGTTGAGACATGGCCATCTTTTCATCATGTCTTTTTTGTATTGATGCTTCGTGGACACTTGTATTTTTTTTTTGTTTTTTTAGTTCTGGAGGAGTGATATTTGAAACATGTTTGGGTGAAGACACATTATCTTCGTCAAAGATACCACAGTTTTCTTTGATGCCTGTAAATAATAAATGTATTTCATAACATTTGTATTGGTGATACATATTATATTGAAGATATATTACTAACCATTATAAATGCGACTAGATGATGCCAAATGCTTTGGTCTTATGTTGGGTTTTCTACCAAATAACTCATCAAGTTCATTAAAAAATTCAAACTCATATACAGCACTTCCTGTCTCATGTCTATTGTCTAATTTTTTTTTGTAGCACAATAGTAAATACTTGAATTTTCCTTGGCATTGATCTTCAGTATATTCAATCTGCTTTCTAAATGTATAAAAATTATTTATTTTATCAATATACATATACAAAATGTTAAACAAATATCTGAAAAATGTACTTCTTTAGATCTTTTGAAACTTGAATCCAACCTAAACGATTTTTTTTTGAGTTTGATTCGAATATCAAAATATTATTCTCATACGCCTCAATAAGGAAAAGTGTTTCAGACTTGGTCCAATTTTTGACTCTTTTTTCATTTGTACTACACAATAAAAAAATTGTAAACTTCAAATAATAAATATACTACCAATTATTAATTATAAAATCAAACGAGTATTCAATGTTAACAAAAATTGAATAATAATATTATAAATTCTTCAATTATGAACTTATTTACCTTGTTTCATCTGATAAGTTATTAAACAATGTTGTTGGTTTAGCTTTAGAATGTTCCAACTGTTGAGGCAATAGTTCTTGGTCTTGACTAAAAAAAAATGTATTTATTTATTAACGGGCAAGGGAGAAGGTCCAAGAAAGTATAATAAAAGTTATATAAATTGAATTAATTTCACAAGCCCTCCCAGCTATTTGTTATAGCTTAAACAATACGAGAGTATTGATGAATTGATGTATTTTGAATATTTACAAAAATTGAATAATAATATTGACTATGAACTTATTTACCTTGTTTCAGTAGATAAATTACCAAATGACGTTGTTGGTTTATACTTTTTTAACTTTTGAGGCACTGCTAGTTCATGGTCTTGACTACAAAAAAAAATGTATTTATTAAAGATCAAAGTGCCAAGAAAATAGAAAGTATAAATTCAATCGAATTCACAAGTTTTCTTAGCTCATTAGGCATCATAGCTTAAACAATATGAAAGTATTCAATATGTTTATAAAAATTGAATAATAATATCAACTATCAACTTATTTACCTTGTTTCATCAGACAAACTATCAAACAATGGGTTTGGCTTATACTTTTTTAACTGTTGTGGCCGAGGCACAAGTTCATAATCTTGACTACAAACAAAATGTATTTATTAAAGAGTGAAGTGCCAAGAAAATAGAAAGTATAAATTGAATCAAATTCACAAGTACTCTTAGCTCATTAGGTATATCATAGCTTAAACAATATGAAAGTATTCAATATGTTTATAAAAATTGAATAATAATATCAACTATCAACTTATTTACCTTGTTTCATCAGACAAACTATCAAACAATGGGTTTGGTTTATACTTTTTTAACTTTTGAGGCACTGCTAGTTCATGGTCTTGACTATAAAAGAAAGAAAGTATAATATATGAAATATGAATTAATGAGTATAATTATATGAGTTATATTAATTATACTATTAAAGCGAATAATAACTAGAAAGTAAAAATAACAAGGCTTAATTATTAGTTAACTTGAAAGTTTTTTTTAAATTTAATTTTTAAAAGAAATATACAGTCTATACCCGGAGGGCACAATAAGAATATGTGCTAATTTACAGTGGTATTGAAACGCTTGTTAAAAGAAGCCACCCAGTAGTGTCACTTACTGTAGATTTTTATTAGATTATTAGACTAATCCTTTTAATTTATTAAGAGGTTTCTGCACAATTTCTTTTTAAGGCGACGTCGAGGATTACCACTTACCAGGAATTTTATTTGGTGATAAGTTATGGATTAATGGATTTGTATTACCAATAAGAGGATCGTGAAAACGTTTGTAGAAGAATTTAGCTTCTTCTTGGACAGTTTTTTGGTATGGATCGGTGTGAAGTGTGTAATTTAATATGTATCGAGGAGAGTTAGTAATTTTTCTTAGAGTAATATTTTGAAACAGCTATATTGTTTTAAGATTGGATATTTTGGCATTGACCCGCAGTTGAAGACCATGGGTTCATTTAAGTTTTAGTAAGGATTTGTACATGAGAAGTTTAATGTTTAAGTTGGTGTGTTTGTTGTTAATTGGAATGTTTTAAGCATGCGTAGCCTAGTATTTAGTTGCAGTCTTTTAGTTTTAATATGGTGTGTCATGTCAGACAACAGTCAAAATATTTGATCGTTACTTGAAAGTTTAAATAAGAATTAGCATAGCCAGCACTAAATATTAATTAAAAGAAAGGGGCATTAATGTTTATGAAACAAAAATTAATTATAGTAGTAATGCTCGCATGCATAGTCAAGTATGTGTTACATAAAATATGGTAAACTACGTCTTGTGTGACAAATACATTGACTATATGCATATGGACACAATAGTGTCTATTAAATTAATATTCATTATTTAATAGATTTGTTAAGATAGAAATATGCTAAGTGCTAACATATTACAAGACAATTACTTAGTATCTTTTCTTTTTAACTTACCTATGATTTTTGAGATGTTCAGACATTTTTGTTAATATAACGTAACTATTGCAAATAGAACATTTTTCCTGGAATAAAAACAAAATTAAAAGTTCTTACTAGTTAGATATATCAAAATTAGTTATATTTTTTTACACACTTACAACTGTGACTTGAGGAAACATTATTTAAATGAATATGTAGTTTAAATTCTTAAATTACAAATAGATTGGTTTGTCATGAATGATGGACCATCAACACGTATTACACGAGACAACAAAAACTAGTCACAAATTGACATTTGTCACTTGTCGCGTTCTTGCACTTTTTCACTCTTGTTCTTTGTTCGTTAATTAATAAATAATAATTATATTATATTTTTAATTTTATGGTTATTTCATATTTTATACATTGTCATTATTATGGCGCGAAAAAAATATTGGTACTAACCACTAACCAGTAACCGTTATAACCAATTTTGTTGTGACGGTCTAAATAGTCCGTTAGAGGAGATTGACTATCTAGTTAGTTATCTACGTTTTTGAACGCAAAAGGGGCGTGTCGGTGAATTCACCGATACGCCCTAAATACTTTCTGAACGACGGTGGGAATTGACTGACGATAGTGGATAACGTTTCTGAACGCACCCCTGTACATAGGTAATAATCAGAAAGGTCAAATGGAAATAGAAATTAGCTAGTTAATCTTCGATTATGTTTTAATACAAAATAATCAAACAGCCCATGGGAGGTATAGTGACCAAAACGAAAGGATAAACAAATTTACAATTAATCATTATTGGCTCAGTGTGATACGATTCTAGAATCGCAATTTGCAATAGCACTATATATGACGGGTATTCAATATAAAAGAGTAGAATGATTAAATATAAAGAAATTGGCAATTCATAGATTAGCTATCAGGACACTATGGTAATACTCAGAATCAGTATTATTATAATAATGTATTTAGTTTCAAAATTCAAATTATCATTGAACTATGAAGATTTTAAGCTAGTGATTTTTCAAATTGAGAAAATATTTAAATCTAAAATATTTTAGATAGTAAGTAAAATAAAAATTACTATTTATGTTTAAATCTACATATCATAGCTCATATTTGGTTTAGAAAATATGAGTCAAATAATCTTTAATGAAATTGGGTACTTTTCTGTTATCCCTACTACCGCGACTCTCAATTCTGTTATCTCGACTACTATAGTACTATCATTGATTATATAATACACAGATAAGCAATGCCATAGGAATATTCGTTGACTAGAATTATAGTTGAATTTATTTTCACGAGATGTCGCTGTTGCATTTGTGACCACTATTAATTAATATATTGAATGATATCAATGGTATAACCTGGTATAACCATTGATGACAATTTAATATTATATTATTATATAATACAACAGACCACGGGCCACGAGTTTACTGACTGTCTTCAAAATATAATTTATAAACTAAATAGGAAATACTCATATTCTGTAGACTGTTGTAACTTGAACATTAAAGAACATAAATCAATACATCAATAGTGAGTTATTGAATGGAATTTTCTTGTATAAGGTGAGTGAATCACTATTCACTATATATAGGTACCTATATTTTGTATATTTGAATCAAATTAATTATTTCATTTAAATTATAATAAAAATTTTTTTAACATATAAAATACAATTTGTCCTAAAATTGTCAACAATTTATATAAATGTAAATACAATTTAGTAGGTTAACAAATAATATCTACACTAATGCTGGGTTGCATGAACAATTACTAAACATATTTTAATGAATCAATAGTGAGCTAATAGAATAGGTAGCTTAAAAAATTAATAATCAAATAATAATAAATTGGTCCATTAAATTTTATTGAATCATTAAATATTAATAAATTGTTCATGTGATAACTCCATAAATGT